GTAAGAACTTGTACAGGAATTTGCGATGCAGAACTTGTGCTGGAATTTGGGGTAAAGAAAACAGCAAATAATTTCTCTTAGTAGTGATTTCTAAATTCTATATGTAATTTTAATTTGCTGCACAAGTATTTGGGGAAACAGAGCCCTTTATATTTTGGAATGGGAACTGTAGGAAAAAAAAGGTCTAAAGTAAAGCTGAGAGGTATAATATACAGGGCAGACAGCAAATATCCTGCTAGGTATATTTATCTGGAGGTACAGACAGAGGCAGCAAGTGACAACTGGAGCAGGAATTGAGGAAACAGGAAAGGAAAAATAGAATGACTGGAGACACTGATACTGTTGAGGTTTGACTGAAAAATGAGAAGGCCGTCCAAGCTGGAGAGAAGAGGAAGAGGGACAGATTTAAGATGATCTGAATCCTCAATATTTTTGGGAAGTAAGCAGAATTAGCCTATAGAGGGCAGCTGGAGAAGGAAATCAATCTAGAAAAGCCAAAACCAATCTAATAATAATTTAAAAAGAAAAAAAAAAGGCGGTCTAACTTGCATCTACCTCCACATGGGCAAGAACTGGGATAAAGTTTCTCAGTAGGAAAAGTGGGGATTGTAGTGAAAGTCAAAATGAAGAGCAAACTAGTTTAAACAGTCTTTGAGATGATGAGAACATTCTTTGGGCTAATTCCTCTAATTCCTAGAGATTTCTTGCGGATCAGATGTTAATACATGAGACTGAAGAAGAGGAACTGAAAACAAGGTGAATGCTGCAGCAGACTAGACAAGGAATCACTGGGTTGGTCGCACTGATTTGGTTCTGGGGGAAGGAATTACAGTCCTGATTTAACACTGTACAAAGTAAATGGATGCTGAGGTGGAGACATTATATCAGTAGGAGTGTTGAATCACAACTCATTATCTGGAAAACTGAAAATTCTCACCACTGAAGCAACTAAACAATTGCAGTATAGATTCTGGTGGCATTGGTGAAAGCAGAAAGGAGCCTTTTTTGGTGCAAATATGAAGAAAGTGGAATTAACTACTTGGTTTTTGCCTACACTATGACTCCCTCCCAGATTTAGAAGAAGTATGGTATTTTATTTGACTTCTCAATTTGGTTCTGAATTATTTTAGCAACTCTGAAACCTGTCATAATTAATTCATTCTTTCAAATCTGAAATGCTGGTAAGAAGAAGCAATGCTATCTGAAAGAAACATGACATTCTTTGCACGGACCCGATTTTATGCAATTTTCTGCAGCTCAAGAACTCCAGGCAAATAGGGTAGTGTTGGATTAGTAGTGAAGTGGCCAAATGCTTATTTACTGTATTTGAGAATCAGAATAAAGATGGAACCTCCACCTGGTTTCACTTAAAATATCTAGATTTTAGGGAGGCTTAATATAAGACCTGAAAGATTGATGACTTTTTATAAGGAAGGTAAAACCTGGGCAGACAACATGGTTCAGTGAAAGAACTTGCTGCTACAGATTCACTGCATTTGTAGCAGGTATAATTATGACACTTTCAGACAAAGCAATATATATACATTGTGGACTGAATGGAAAATGGCCTAATACTTCTGGACTGGAGGCATGTCTGTATTGTCCCTACTCTGTAGCTTTTGTTTAAAGAGATGCAGCTCAACAAGCCAAAATGAAGACATTGGCAGACCTAATTCCAGGTAATTATTGAAATTCCAAATGGTACTTACTAGTTAATAAAAATTGTAATACACACAATGAAATTTTAGTAAAAATTCAGTTGGAGAGGAAAATGGGAAAACCTGTCCTATTTGGGACACATTGGATGGTATTATAATTTTATGTAGAGACATTGACAAGAGGTCAAACTTTAAATCTAAAGTCGAGCACTTTCAGGCTTTTTTATTATTTATTTGAATTTAAAAATTATGACATAATTTGAAACAATTACCTTTGTAAGCAGAATTATAAACTCAAATCTGAATGATGGTCATATTATCCTCTTTTAAAATATTGTACCATTAAACAGTTAGGTTGTTGCAAAGTCCAAAAGCATTTGCCTGGTAGAAGTAGGGTAGAAATGTTATTTCGAAGTGTACAAATCAGTTACTGTCCTTTTCTCAGTAAGACTATTCAAATATTTTCCTTGTAAAGATGCTTTATTTGGCTTTGATCTTTTCCCATTTAAAACAGGCTGCAGATATGCTTACAGGCTGTTTTTTAAAGGAAACAAATACATATTTACACAATACCAATATTTATTTGTATCTATGGATAAATGTTTGAAAGATAATAGAAAAGATTCTAGTTTTATGAAGCCAAGAATTTTTAAAATGGCTTTGAAATAAATGAAATTTTTACATTCCATATTAAAAAGTATTATTGTTTTATGCACTTGCTACAGTTAGTCTTTGATAAATACATACTTCTTATCCAGTATTCATATTATTTAGAATAACCAGGTTAACAGCAATTTTTGGAGTTCACTTCTCAGGCTAAAGAAGAGTACCTGAAAACAAGGTGAATGTTCAGCAGACAAGGGTCAGAGGGTTAACAGAGATTCTTTTAGCATGCTTCACAGCATAAATAGACTATAGCTTGATTTGTAAAACTGTATGGATTTTTGTTTTCAGATAAATTGGTTTTAAAATATATAGATCCTAAAATATAGGATTAGATTAAAAGGTTGGTAAAACATAATTTCATCAAACAAAAAAACTTGAATGTATAGTTGGGATGGGTATTAAAACCATGGATTTGTATTTTATAAAGCCAAAAAATAGAATTCTATATCAGACAGTTCAAACCTATAATAATGCAGTAGAAATAATTCTTGTAACCCAGCTGGACTGCTGGGTCATGCAAATATATTATTTTGAAGTCAGTTTCACAGTGGATGAGATCTGATCTATAGGAAACAAAGACAAATAATTTAACTAAAATAAATACATCATTTATTTCCAAAATTTTAAATAACATACAAAAACCAAATCAGTTAACTATTCTTTAATAAGGTAGAGGGGCAGATCCTCAGCCAGTGTATAAACTATGAAAATTTACCCCAAGTGAGGTTCTCTTCCATTCTCCAACTATAATTACAGTATTTTTTTTTTAGATTTGTTTCCAAATGTTAAAAAAAAAAAAAAAAATCCATTTAGTTCAGTGGGTAAACATTGTGTAAAATCTGATGACTTGCAGCTATGGCATCTTCCACCATCAGATGCCTGGACTTTGAACATATTCCTAAAAGCTATGTGCATGATTTTTAAAAAATGCGCTAAGTCCACTTGTTTCGTTTAATTACATTTCAGACATGCATTCCCAGGTCCCGAAGTGCCTTCCAAAACACAGTGGTTCCTGTCGGGTTTTCGTTGTTGCTTTAATGATATAAAGATCTCGGAGGATAGAAAGATGGGTAGTTAATATCTACATTTAACTTATTGCATCTTTTGGATTCGTTTGCCTTGCCTACCGAGCCTGAGCGTGGCTGTGCTGGCTGGCAAACAGACGTGGGAGCCAACGACCATTTATATTCTCCCTGGCTAGTGAAAAGACACCAGTACCCACAGGCAGAGACCTGCACTGGGGAGCACACAGAGCTCAACTTCCTCTGCTTTGGCAGGGACAATCGCTGCTGCTCTCGGTCAGCGCCCCTTTGCGGGCGGGGGGTTGGTTGGGGGGCGGCGAGGAAAGTGTTTCGGGGAGTCTCCCCGCAGGCAGGGCTGCGGCGGCACGGGCCGGGGGCGCGGGCAGGTGGGCTGGCGGGAGGGCGCGGGCGGCGGGGGAGGAAGGGGAAGAGGCGCGCAGCAGCCAGTCAGGTGACCCTGTGTGTGGCAGGTTGGGCGGCGGGGGCGGCCACGCCGCGTGTAGGCAGCAGCCGCCGCCGCAGCCGGGCTGGGGAGCGGGCTGCGCCCCGAGCCGCGGCGGAGGCGGCGGCGGCAGGGACTGGGCCATGTGATGCCGGGGGACGGCGAGAGGAAGAGGAGGTGGGGGAGGAAGAGGAGGGGGGTAGGTGCTGCTCGCGGGAGAGTCACTGGGGCTCCGCTGCCGGGGAGCGGAGCCGGGCAGCCGCCGCCGCCGCCGCGGGGGAACGTGCCCGCCAGCCGGGCTCGGGGCAGAGCCGCCTCCGTCCCTCCCGCGGAATCCCAAGCGGCCGGAGGGGCGGGGAGCCGCGGCCCCCGGAGCGAGCTGCTCCCCCTGGCTGTGTGGCGCGGGGAGGAGGAAAGGCAGCGGCGGCAGCAGGAGGGACCCCGCGCTGCAAGGAGCCGCCGCCGCTGCTTCATCCTGCGGCACCGGGAGGCAGAGAGGAGCCCGGGCGCGCGCAGGTGGGCAGCACCCGCAGCAGGGCCAGCCCCCTGCCCCCGGGGCGCGCCGGCTGCTGCAGGGCAGCCGCGTGGCTCCAGCGTCCCCCCAGCCCTGTGGCGGGTCTCTGGGTGCGCGCGTGACCCTCCCCTTTCTCCCCTGGGGGTGGCCGGGGGGGGGGAGGCTCAGACCCGGGGTCATCTAGTGCTGCGTGTGTCTGTTCCCAGCTGGAAATAGGGGTGTGTGAGTGTGAGAGAGACGCATCATCTCCTACTTTCCGTCAAATCTTTTTTAGATCTTCAGCTTCACCCCGTGTGTATGTGCCTTTCAGACAACGCGCGTGTGTGCTGGGGGGGGGGGGGAGATTTATTGATTGGACTAGTTTCCGTGCATTGCTTACTTGCCATTTAGTTATTTATCCTACTTGCATTAGGGAATTGGTAACAGCCAAGCTGTGCAATGAGGGTGCCGAAGGTGGCTGCATGCGTACATTTTGACAGGGAAACGATTGGCGTTTTTAGCGAGCAATGTGGAAAACGCAATTCCCTTTGGGGTGAAATTCTGGCTAGTAACTTCAAGGGAGGCAGAGCTAGATATGGTCAAGGATTTACCTGCAGGACACTTGCTCTGCAGAACACAATAAAGCACCATCAGTCTTTTGTTTTAGAGAAATTTGCTGGCAAATCATGTTTAATCTCTGTTTGGGATAAATATGTTTCTCCAAGTTTGTGACTTTTTTTTTTAGATGTTTTAATCATATGCAACACTGTGTTAATTATAAAAAGCTTTTAGCATTTCAGATTTCAAATATGAGAACAGCCGTTGTCATGCGTGTGCTCGTAGTGGCATGAGGAAATGATTGTGTTTCAGATAGTTAATGACTTTATAGCATTTTTCCAGGTAGAGAAGTCCTCGAGAGAGTGGTTCTACAGTTACTTGTAGACAGGATATCAAAAATTAATAAGTGGAGCCAAGAGAGAGTGTGCACATGCAAAAATCCATAATATCTCAAAAGATTATTTTCCCTTGAATCTCATTCAGTTGCTGAATGAAACAAATCTGGTAAATAGGAATAGGCTTTTGCTTTTACAAGTAAAATATTCCCCCGAAAAATATATGATGACTGTGAGGTCTTTGAATACCCAGCCTGCATTTTTGTTTGACCAGTGTGTAAATGTGTCATATTGGAGTAAAAGTTATTTTCTAATTTATTACAGTAAATTTAAAATTGACTTTTATGCAATAAGAAAATTACAGAGTTTAACATAGTTCAGTGTCTTACTGAAAATAAATTTCGCGTTGTCAACATTAATTTTTTGTGCATATCATTACAAATTCTATGGGGTAACCAAGTTCTCAGTGAAAAGTACATTTTTGTAAAATGGTGATGTTTAAATGGAAGTTGGGATAGTCTTATATTTAATAGAAAACTAAGTACAGATGTTTCTGTACCTGAAAAAGTTATAGTATTGCCTTTCAGGGTTATAAAGTATCCATTAAACAACACAGAAGTAGATGGTGGGATACAAGGGTTTGTTTCTTTTAGTCTTTAAATATTCAATTTAATATTGAATTAAATTATGTTGGAATCATGTATTTCCTTACAAAGAAGTTTACACATAACACAGTGTTAGTATTTTAACTGTCCTCATACAGTTGAGAACATTTTTACTAGTATGGTTGTGTAGTAAAATAAATGAGATGAAATATTTTGTGATGGTAGGCTTTACAGGATAATACGTGACTAATTTCTCCTATATGACTACAGGTGGCAGTGTAGAAGCCAAGAACAAAAACTGACAGAAGTTACTTTTCTCTTTAAGAAAATGAAGAGAGCGTACACATGACTAAGCACAGGAACCTGAAAAACCACAGGTATGTGAAGTGATTAATCTAAGTGCCTATGATACGCCAAATATTTACTGTATCCTGATATTACTGATTCATTAGATATTCTAGACCAAATTTCATTTGAGTTATCTGATTCATTTAAATCAAGATCCTAATCCATATGGCAAAAAAATCATATGCAATAACTAAAGTAGAAAAAATGATGTGAGTTAGTTGTGAGGGAAAGGAGGTATTTTAACATCTTTCCCCAGTTTATTTTAGCTATAAAAAATTTGAACAGGGTAGTACTTTAAATAACTTGCTTTCTTAAATAAGTACATGGCCTCACATTGGTCGTACTGTCATCTTTCCTAAACCAAATGACTTATTTTAACTAAAATAGACACATTTCAGTTGTAGTGGGAAGTTTCAATTTCTACGTGTTCTAGGAGTCTTATTAGAACTTTTAAAGTTCACGCAGAGTCAAAAGCTTTAGACATGGGGTAGAGGAACTTCAAAGATGTTTGTCCTCAAATTGTCCAGAAGTGGTGTTAATCTTTTAGTTAAATACAGTATTTTAATCTTTAGATATGTATTAATACACACAGATGACAGTGCAATAAAAAAAAAAATCAATGAGGTGATTCCAAATACATGTAGTTCTCAATAATAAAATAACATTACTGATCTTTCCTTATAAGGTTACTATAAAATACCAAATCAACAAATATCTAAAAATAAGCAGTTCTAATAGAGATGCTGCATGGAATCTTTTTGTGTATTATAATAAGGGGGAAAATTAGAGTAATTAGTGATGAATTCTGGTTAGTTAACAAAAATGAAATAAGGCATATATCCTTTCCACAAGCCTACCTCTGGGTCTTCAATGCCTATAGAAACTATTCCCTGGGACCAAATTATCTGAATATTTCGAGGCCCTGGCTGAAAGAAGGTACAGACCAGTGGATTGAACTTCTGTTACATAGGGCAATTTGTAAGGTAAAGTGTGAATTTATATCACTCTAGCTATACCCATATAACTCCCATGTGTATACTCTTATTCTCATCTAAGAGGGCCTTCTTTTTGTTTAGCTTATGTTGCTTTGAAACTAAGCTGAAAAAGCCAGTCTTATTCCAGAGTAAGAGATCCACTTTGAAATGTTAAAGTAATTTAACTGTACGAGTATAATTGTACCAGGATAACTTCCCATTTAGAGAAGCCTTTCAATTGTCCTTACCTCAAAAAGCTTACAATTTTTTTGTTGGTGGAGTGCCTAGTACGATCAGGTCCTGCTTCATAAGTGGGGCTTCTTGGTGCTATCGCAATATATGTAATTAATAATATACCGCACCTGTGATAGTTCTGTAGAACACATGGTTCTAACACAGTTAGCACAGTTACTAAAAATTAACGTGCACAAAAATATTTAAACAACCCTTCTTAAGTTCTAGATTTGTTTATGCTGCAAAGACCAGTTCTTTCAATTATTTTCAGGGGATAGCCAGGCTAACCCCAGCCACCTTTTGAGTAGGCAGTTTGCCGATCACCTCTACCCCAAAGGGAGCATTTAACCTGTAGCTTATCGGGAAAGGGAAATTAGCTAAATAAGGTGAAAATCAACACAACAGTAAGTATTGTGATCCTGATTTAGTAAAGCAGGTAAGCACATGAGTGCTTTAAGTACTTAATTCAAAGCAAATGGGACCATTTGCAGGCATTTCTAGCACATGTTTAAGTGCTTTTCTGAAAACATTAATTCACTCTGGTATCAACATGTGTAGATGAGAAAATGGAAATATATATTTATATTTGTGTCAGGAATGTAAAATTTTAGTAGGTTCTTCTATTATAGTAAGTAGTCACAAAAATTAAGCATAATGTATAATGTAAGAAGAGCAGTAACTAAGCAGAGTGCTGTAGTTAAGGATTCATATTACAGAGTTTTTGCTATTCTGCATGCACCTAGTACTGTACACTATGAAGTATTATCAATAATTAAACTAAACTATAGTTGTAAAATTCTCAAAGTATATTTTGTGGTATATAACCATTGCTTTTTGCATATGAGAATTCACAAAATTCAGCCAGTTGTAATGAATCAGTCTGCCACTAGTGCAAATTGGTGAGGATCAACTGTATTTGCCCTGCATTAGACTATCTAAATTGGATTTGACAGTGGCAAATACTGCAAGCTGATATGAAATGAAAATGAATAAAGCCTTCACTATGAATCAGTTAATTGGTATATTGCTTCCTTACCTTTGCTATATACCTCTCACTGCAAGATAAAATAATCATGATTGTTTATCATTCTCTATAAATACTGCAAGAGAAACAGATGAAAACTTCAACAGGTTTTTTGTTGTTTCATGTTGTATACAATATAACTAATAAAGAATAACTTAGTTCTGATATTTGAAAGCTACAGTTGTAGTGTTAGATTTATGATTGATATGGTATAAATCAGAATGTCTTGGTAATAATAAAATATATAGAAATGTTTGCTTTAATGGGAGTTACCCTTATAAATCCATCATGTGTCAATGGCACAATAAATCTCATATCTTTGTAGCAGGGAGAACCATCTCCTGATACTGTGTTTTTTAATTGAAAATTCGTTGCTCTCCATGCATTCTTTCTTCTTGTCATATGTGGCTGCACAGTGAATCATCTGATGGCTATCATAAAGATAGTTAAAGTCAGCATTACAACTGCTATGGAATCATGCTAGTATGAAATAAATGTAGTAATCTGTTATGGTACTGTGGTTTTGGACAATAACATCCTATATTCCCTGTGTTGCTAGAACTTTTATGGGATTGCCTTGGAAGTGTTATGAGGGGATTGGGAGAAAAGATCAGCTTTGTGGGTCATTGTTAATGAACAGTGCAGTTGAGCCAGTATAATTGCTGACATTCAGGAAGCCTAGCTGAAAGGTGGAGAAAAGACTGCAGACAGGCATTTTGGAGAGAGTATGGTGCTTACACCATAAGTTTCAACCAGTGGAGGGCCACTACTTCAGTTAAGAAGCATAAACTTAAATATAGACTGGTTATCAAGGATCAAAGGCAGTTTTATGTGAGACATGTTGAATGTCCCTGTTTCTACAAGAGGATGAAGGTTTGAGCTGAAGTCTCTGGCAAGTGAAAATTCCAGATGGAATAGACAAAGAGTAAGAAGATGGAAGAATATAGGACACAACTGAAGAGTGTGTGTTTGGAGACATACAACAAGACGCCCTAGTCAAGGTAATACTGGGACAGCTGGAGCCCCACTCAGAAGAAGAGAAAATAAAATGTATCTCCATCTCAATTCTGTGCATAGGTCACCGATGCTAATTTAATGGGATAGCTATTCCATGTGAGGGGCCCACCTGTTGTGGGTGGTGGTAATTCCAGAGCCTAACTCATAGTACACTTTCCTGAAATAGGCACTAAAGCAGAAGGAAAAATACAGCCTTTAGCCATGACACAGCACTGAAAAGCATCCTTGCTTAATGAACATATGTAAAGCTACAGCAAGTTAAAGTGTACCACCTAAAATGTTGACCTAGAGACATCTTGGTAGATAATGGAATAATCAGTGAAGAAAAGGAAAGTACTGAAAGGGACAAGTGGCAAGTGATCCTGATCTGTGACTCCTTGGTGACAGCCTGACAGAGCCATGCCCTCAGAACAGGGGAAATCTGCTCTTTTCCTTGTATGTGTTCAAGTTTACAGATTTGACAAACAGAGCAAATATTGTTCTGAAGAAGTCTGAGAAATTTCCTTTTATTGTAGCTGCTTATTTACTAGAACTGGTAACATTTTTTCAACCAACAAGATTTTTGTCAAAAAATAGCGTTTTCTGAAAATAGAATTTTTTTTATGCAACATATTGTCCATGTCAATAAATTGTTAATGAAAATGCTCACAATATTTTTTTATGTTTTTGTTTATAATTTTTCTTTTCCCTTACCACCTTCTCTCCTTTCTTGCTTTCTCCCCCCGCCTCCCAAATCATATTTGAAAGTTTAGGTTTTATTTTGAAAATGACTGGAGGGGTGAGGAATAAAGGGAGAGAACCTGAAAAATGGGAGACGAGCGGGAATCAATGATTTACTAATGAAATATTTCAAAAACACCAAAAGTTAGTCCATTTGAATGCTGTAAAATGAGAACAACTTCAAAATTTTCACAAAATTCTTTTTCTATATTTGACAATCTCTGTTTACTTTTCCACAAGTGTGGTGTCATTCAGGATGTTCTAGCCTTCTTCCACACATGTCAACATTTTCAAACTTAAAGTTAGGCACCCAAATCCATACTTTTACGGTATGTCTACACTGCAGTGTAAGCCTAGGGTTAGTGGGACTTCAGTTGCGGTCCTGGGTTAGTGCAATTGCAGCATAGAGACAATGGAGGTTATGCTTGAGGCCAGGCTCAAGTGCGGGCTTATATTGCAATGTAGACCTACCATAAATCACTTGAAAAAGTGACTTGATGTTTCACAGGTGTTGAGCCCATCTGCAGATTTCATTCTACAATCTCAATGTAAACTGTTAAGCCAATAAATGGCCAGTATATCTTGAAGTGGACTGTTCAAAGATTTGATCGCAAAAACAAAACATATATTGGAAAAGCAACGGAAATACTCTGGTATGGTAATGAAATAAAAACAAATATGTTTTTTGACAGATGCTTTGCATCATGGACTGGAGAGGTGGTAGTTTCTGCAGGGCCCTGGGGACATCAGACCTAGAATATTGCATATAATTCTAGATATCTCATGCCCAAAATTGTTTGTTGAAAGGAATGCTGAGAAAAACAGTGAAAATTACTAAAACAGAAAGATTGATTTATTAAGAATAAAATAGCTAAGTATGTTCTGGCTAACCGATGATTGAGTTGGTAGATATGAAAATCATGTAGCAGTATTAAAAGGGTATAAATTTTAAGGAGGGAGAAGAATTGTTCATAGGGATTCAAGCAACTAATGAATGAAGTTAAGGAAAGGAAAATGTAATCTAGCTAGGAAGAAAAATGTCCCAACTGTAAAGTTTTTTAGATTATAGAATAGTCTGACAATGGAAGTACCATTGTTGGTCACTTAGATAACTAAACCAAACAGTATAGAATATACTGGAGGGAATGAAGCAGACTTCACTAAATGCCTTAAGTTATTTCTTCAACTTTTTTATACTAAGATCAAAAGGCAATATTAGCTAAGTGAGTTTTCAAAGTTTTCATAAAGGAGAACTGGATACTTAAATTCAATCAGTCCCACTGAGCCATTAAAGAACAAATGTTTTGAGAACTACAGCACGTACACCTCAAAACTCTCATGAGGAAGTTAAGCGCTTTATGTAACTTGTGCTAATGAGAATTTTTGTAATTTTGCATCACAAATTTTCCTTTTAATGATGAGAGAAGCTCTTTTTACACTGTAGAGGGATTATGTAGAATTCTCTGAATGGGAACCACCAAGGTGGATTGTCTTTTGTTTCAAATAAGAAACTAATCCTGTAACTTACTGTACACCCAAAATATCCCTTGCTTCAGTGGAAGAGCAGAGTGCATAAGGAATGGGGGCTCAGGCCCCAAACAACTAGCCTGATTTAGAGCCAGATGATGGTCCTGAGATGGTTCTTCGTAACCCAGGACTGTGAATCACCTTGTTACTCCCCTCCCTCCATCAAGAGGGTGCTTAACTGTGTGTCAGCTGCCTGAGACCAGGAGTTTGTTAGCCACTTAAATAATCTCCTGTGAGCTAAGCCACCCCTTCCTCTGCCTTGCAGATTAACAATAGGTGTACACTCGTCCCTGAGCCCTTAAAAGTGTTCCCCTGTAGTGTCCAGCCCCTTATCCACTGAACACTTGCAGAAATACCAGGTCTGCTACTTTCCCCAAGGGAACAGTGTGCAAACCAGCTTAAATGATTCATTTCAATATCAGCTCCTTGTGTAATACCACAGCATTGAGATTTATTTGTAGTGAAAACAACATGTTTATTTTGTAGTGAAAACAACATGTTTATTATCAAAGGTTCAAGAGATACAGAGAATGGATAATGAAAACAAAAGGGTTACATATAAAACAAAATCGTAAAATGATTTCTAAATACTCAACTTAACAGACTAACCTTGTCTATAAAGAAATTTACTTCACCCAAATGTCCTTTGCAGCATTTCAGCCAAGGTTGGTTGTGATAGCAATGCCTGATGACTTCCTAGGGGCAGGATAAAGGGGTGTCTTTCTTACCTTCTCCTTGTATTCCCCAAAGTTCATTGTTTGTAGCTAGAATCAGGATAACCCCTGCATCAGTCTGATGTGCTCCCCCCATTTTGATTTTATATCCCCCGCCCCACTGACTTTGTATGAAAATGGGGCTTCCCTGGTGTTGGCTTACAGTACTTAATTTACAGGTCTACTCAGAGACAGGTGAATACACATCTTTGGCAGAAAACCTGATGTCAACTCTGTCTTGATATAGACCAGGGATTGGCAACCTTTGGCACGCGGCCTGTCAGGGAAATCCGCTGGCGGACCGGGCTGGTTTGTTTACCTGCAGCGTCCACAGGTTCGGCCGATCATAGCTTCCACTGGCTGTGGTTTGCCGCTCCAGGCCAATGGAGGCTGTAGGAAGCGGCGGTCAGCACATCCCTCGGCCCATGCCACTTCCTGTAGCCCCCCATTGGCCTGGAACAGCAAACTGCTGCCAGTGGGAGCTGCGATCGGCCAAACCTGTGGAGGCTGCAGGTAAACAAACCAGCCCGGCCCGCCAGCGGATTTCCCTAACAGGCCGCTTGCCAAAGGTTGCCAGTCCCTGGTCTATATCAAGACAGAGTTGACATCAAGTTTTCTGCCAAAGATGTGTATTCACCTGTCTCTGAGTAGACCTGTAAATTAAGTACTGTAAGCCAACACCAGGGAAGCCCCATTTACATACAAAGTCAATGGGGCGGGGGATATAAAATCAACATGGGGGGAGCACATCAGAATAATGCAGGGGTTATCCTGATTCTAGCTACAAACAATGAACTTTGGGGAACTTTGGGGGGGATAGCTCAGTGGTTTGAGCATTGGCCTGCTAAACCCAGGGTTGTGAGTTCAATCCTTGAGGGGGCCATTTAGGGATCTGGGGCAAAAATTGGGGATTGGTCCTGCTTTGAGCAGGGGGTTGGACTAGATGACCTCCTGAGGTCCCTTCCAACCTTGATATTCTATGATTCTAAAGGTTGCTGATCCCTGATATAGACCTTAGGAACATATTTTCATTATACATACATAACTCCTTACATAGTGTCTGTACGTACATTTCACAATGATGTAATGACCTGCATGACCCTGGCTATTGTTTAAGACCTCACATGATATTCTTTGGTGAAACAGAATGTACATAGCAGGATCAGGATTTTCTTGTAACCCCCCTTGCCAGTTGGCATTGAAGAGTTCAAAGGGTCACGAGTCCTCTTTGAGTGCTTTGAGAGGGTTGCCATTGATTTTAATGGGGCAAGGATTTATGCTTAAAAGAAGAGTCCATTTATAAAAAAGTAAAGATTTAAAATGAAATATTGTACTCAAGAAAAGAATATTCATGGAATTTCTTGTCAAATAAAAATTGAAAGAAATAAACAACTTATCTATTAAACTTATTATTTATTATCACACTTATTTAAAACCTCTCAGCATTATTGAGCCCATATGCACCAGTCAAATGCATCTCCATTATGCAGAATTTCTCCTAATATTGTGCCAATTAAGTAACAGACATTGGTGTTCACTGTTATTAGATGAAATCAGCTCCTTGGGAGATGTACCTATTAAGCAGACTTCCTAATTAAAAATGGCTTGATTAAATGGAATGGACTGTACTATATTAAGCTTCTAAGCTTCTGTGTGTGCACTAAATCTTTCTTAAGATCCATAGGCTTACTGTGTTTCATTTATTTTTTTAGATATACTAAAATGTTCTTACTAGGCAAATAGCTTGTTTTATCATCATTGTTTTTTTTGTCTCTGAACTGTGTTTATCCATTATAGCTCATTATAAGAAGGTTGCTTAATACAAAAAAAAAATCTTGATTCTGAAATCTGAATAAAATTCTATTGCTATCCGTTACTCAAAACTTGTTTAGATTAAGTTGTCTTTGCTTAAACATGTAATTGTAAGAAACTTCATTAATCATAATTTAAAGTAGTGTTCAGAGCTCAAAAATCTTAGCAGTATCTGCGAAGCCAACGGTGAAGAGTACTTGTGATGCCATACACCTATGCCATGCCCTGTTCCTGCCACCCTCAAGAGTCCCCCCTGTGCAATTCAAATGATTAAAAAAATTGTGCTCTGCTTTTCTCACTTATTTACCTCCTCACCTTTATTCTGTTTTTCTGTACCTATGTTGTTTTCTACCCTTTCCATCTGTATTTTCTACCTCTTGTCTCCCACATTCATACTGTTGGATGCCTTATTTCTCTTTTCTAACTTATCTCATAAACCTCTTTTTCTTTTTCCCCCTCCACTCCTCAGATCCTGAACACATATAGGCTTTGGAAATCTTACCAGTACAGGTTTCAGAGTAACAGCCGTGTTAGTCTGTATTCGCAAAAAGAAAAGGAGTACTTGTGGCACCTTAGAGACTAACCAATTTATTTGAGCATGAGCTTTCGTGAGCTACAGCTCACTTTATTGGATGCATACCGTGCAAACTGCAGCAGACTTTATATATACACAGAGAATATGAAATAATACCTCCTCCCACCCCACAGTGTATATATAAAGTCTGCTGCAGTTTGCACGGTATGCATCCGATGAAGTGAGCTGTAGCTCACGAAAGCTCATGCTCAAATAAATTGGTTAGTCTCTAAGGTGCCACAAGTACTCCTTTTCTTTTTACCAGT